GTCCCAAGCCCACCAGGCCATGAAAGGATATTAATCTGGATGACTGGCATTCAAACCTGCATCCAGCAAAACATGGAAGATGGATAAAGAAACACGCGTCTGCAGCTTGAAATGACTGGCCTTTGATCACATGGCCACAAGTACTTAAACACTCAACATTTCAGTTTTTTATCAAAAATGATTAAAATATCCTAACAGAACACAAGTTGGTGTTACTAACACTCTGTACAATATGTTTTGAGATGACCCCTGGCTACATCTACAATGTTTTACAAGTCAACAGTAACGTATCATCTTGGATGAAGAAGACTATTGTCTATATTTACTCCCTTTAGCCTGAATCCATACTCCAAGTAAATAGCCTATCCTGACATCACCCCTGGCGATATCTAAAGACACACCAACTAAATGTACAAAACATGTGTTGAAATGGCCCCCAGCTCCCTCTGCCCCTGCAGTAAGCTTGGAGCCATCAATGCTCTTGCTAGAAGTGAAACTCAATCCCCAGCTATAAATAGAACACCTATAGTTGACGGTTTCTAAATTGGTACTGCCGTGACCTAAAATGCCCGCACTATAACGACAGCTGCAGATTCAACTGCATATCGTGTCTGGCCCTAATGCAAGCAGCTAGCAGCCCCGTGCAGCCTCTATTATAATGTGCAGCCTCAATAGAACAATGTAGGGATGACTGGAGCTAACAAACTCCTGGCTGAAATGGCTAGCTTGCTGAAGGCCACATACTTAAACTGGGACTGCATCTACAATATCTAGGGGCAATGAGGTAACCATATTAGCTAACAGCCAGCCTGAGGCTTCATAGCTGAGACAAGAAACTGCACATTATTAGATGATAGCATTAGCTGCACCAAGCTAGTCAGTCACTCTCTTAATTTATTGTTCTCAACAGCTGCAGAATTCCTCTCAACAAATGCATAGGTTGACAATATTGCCCTGGATGTTATGGACATTTGATAAATGTCTAGGCATCAAAGTTCACTTTATTGGAAAGAGCACATCGCCAAGTAATGCTCCGACATTTGAGTCAAGTCAAGTCAAGTATCTATTGTATCAAACATTAAAGGCAACCACATCAAAACTCTGTTATAAACCATTATGAGGTTATACAGGGGAGTAACAAAAATGCATTCATAATTTTGCATGCAAAATGGACCCAGTTTTGGTCATATATAATATAAATCGGTCATATTGAACAGCTAAATCATTTTGATACTGTCGCTCAAACCAAACACAATAAGAGACTATTTTATATAAAACAGAAATGATCAAACCTTTCATACCAGAATCAATATTGCACCGTCTTAACCAATAGCACTATATTTCAAAACCACAAGCAATAACCAAGTGTTTCAAACACAGTAAAAATTTTCAATATATAGCAACACTTTAATCTTACCAACGAGCAGCAAACAATGCATCATCTGAGAAAGTGATGACTGTCTCCAACAGCAACAGATGCATCCTTCTGACCAACAGCAATGACTGTATCTAACAGATGCATCCTTCTGACCAACAGCAATTACTGTATTTAACAGATGCATCCCTTTAAACAACACTGACTAATCCCAAACATCAACAGCAACTGATGCATCCCTTTCAACAACAATGACTGTACCCAACATCAACAGATGCATCCATTCTAACCAACAGCAATGACTATACTTAAATGCATCCTGATAAACGGCCTAGAGCAAAGATGATTAAATCAAACACCAACGCATCAACGATCACTTAACCCTACAGTTAACAGCACTGAAGACATTCTCACAAACAACAAAACCGCACCTCACAAACTAACAGCAAAACTGCACCTCACAAACCAACAACAAAACTGCATCTCACAAACCAACAGCAAACACAAACTGAAGCCGACACGACTCCCCACACTACTCAGTGCAGTGGCGGCTTCTTGCACACACAGTCCAGGCAGAAGCATACATTCAAACAAGCCATGGCACAAGTCAGGCAGATAAGGAAGGTAGAGGAGCATAAATGTCAGACCAACTCACTTCCTGGATGCTGACCTTGGATGCTGACCTTGACAGGGAGAGGGAGGAAGGCCAATAATACATGCCAGGAGCTAATTATAGGCACCATGTGAGCTCATGACCATGCAGGCCATGCTGCAGGTGTAGCCAGCCGAGTCCTAGCAATGGTTGACTGGGGCCAAACGTACTACAGCTGGTGCAAGTCAACTGTGTGACACTTGTACAGATCATGAAGGCTTGTGACCACATAGACTACCCACAAGGCAAACTTACATGCATATTAAAATGACGCCTTTTTCAACAACCACAGTTAGGAATTATTGTCTTGTTAATAAAAACCTGTGTACATGTGCTTGAGGACCAATGCCAGTGGAAGAAATAAAAGAAATTGCTAATGACTTTCATTTAGACTCTGATAAGTGGGGTAATACTGGTGAAACAGTTGGTATGTTAGAACAAAGGCAGATGGATCATATTGTCAGACAAACACAGCTTTCCATAACTGAAGACCTTTCATACAAGAAAGTACACAGGTGTAGACGGCAAGGTCTGAGATTTAATATCTGAAGACCTTTCATACAAGAAAGTACACACAGGCGTAGAGGGCAAGGTCTGAGATTTAATATCTGAAGACCTTTCATACAAGAAAGTACACAGGCATAGAGGGCAAGGTTTGAGATTTAATAACCGAAGACCTTTCATACAAGAAAGTACACAGGCGTAGAGGGCAAGGTTTGAGATTTAATAACCGAAGACCTTTCATACAAGAAAGTACACAGGCATAGAGGGCAAGGTTTGAGATTTAATATCTGAAGACCTTCCATACAAGAAAGTACACACAGGCGTAGAGGGCAAGGTCTGAGATTTAATATCTGAAGACCTTTCATACAAGAAAGTACACACGTGTAGAGGGCAAGGTTTGAGATTTAATATCTGAAGACCTTCCATACATCAAGTTAGAGGGTTAGGTATGAGATTTAATGACAAAAGGTTCATTTCACACTGGTGATGGCACAAATCCACTGAGCAGGATATTTAATCTAATTTCAACAATACAGAGACCAGGAATAGGTTGATATTGACTGTTATTAGCCATGAGATCAAATCAAGGGTTTCAAAAATTGAGTTCTAAAGCATCACTTACACTTGCCAAAGGGAAATGGTCTAAATTATCTATACTGCCCAAACCAATACAACCTACAAACTAAGGCCAAACTTACTGCCATTTTCAGATTTCAACTTCCAACAAATTATGGCCTGAGCCACTGATTCAAGATTTTTGTTCAATCCATCAAGTGATCGATGACAAGAATTCCGCCAAAATGAAAGTTTACCAGAGTTTCAATGATCAATTCAAAAGCAAAGTACTAAAGAATACATGTTGATCCAAGAAATCATATTATTCAATATAATTTTATAAACATGTATCCAAAAATAGCAGATTGTTGGAACTTCCAAAAAATATTGTCAAACTCTTTCTTATCATCTGCCATGGTCAATAATTTGGAACAAAACAAAAGCAAAAATGTCCTTGAAAACGTCTCATGTTGACTTTCAACAATGGGAGTGACATCTGAAAGGCTATGTAGCTCACCTGGCTAATCCAAATAATTCTGACCACAATGGTATGTATATCATATTGGAACTGAATAGTTACACACAAGGCTACAGACATATCAAAGAGGTAACAAATGCTTAATGTTTGTAAAGAGTGAACTGACATCCACTGACAATGATGGAGGACATGCAACTCCCTGTTAGAAACACACAGAGCCAGGTGAGCTTAACATCCCACCAAAATTCTGTAATATGTTTTGATGCCAGAGTATGAAGATCTTTATTCATCAGGTAATGTGTGACATATCGCAACAAAAGCACATAGAACAGTAGGCCATTTGTACTTTTAAACAAAATCCGAGAGTACAATCACTGGCTGAATAGTATGTACAGTATAAAAATATTCATGGACAATAAACACCACAACACCATGACATTTTGTTAAGTTATTCAATAATGGTGTGAAATTACATCAGAGAACGGTATCCCATTACTTTGATGAATTGTGAACATATCGTGTTGTTCAACAATCAGGCATTTAATATGAGTCCCGGCCATGAGATACGACTCAATACTCTCAGTATGACGGGAATGCACACTTCATTGTATTATCATTGTGTCTTTAGGTCGACTGACAACCACAGGCCCATTTTAAGAGAAGAGAAGTACAACTGCGATCTGGCATAGCCTCTTTATACCAGCAGGACCTAGTGTCACATGAGTGTCTTTATATAGCAGGGTTCCATAGTGGAATAATAGATATGGACACCAGCCAATTTTTCTCAAAGAACTGGAAGTATTCCATGTCACTCAGTGTTAAGAGCTGTTTAAAGGTTCTTCCATGCATAGTAATAAAATCTATGCTAGACTGACCTTGCCTTGCTTAAGGCCAAACCCATTCCAAGATCTTTACATCAGCCATGTTATGTCTATTGGCTATGTGAATAGAGGTTTAATAATATGTATCACATCACCTATTGCTATATGGCTATAGTTACAATGGCTCATACCAACAAGTATACAAATAAAAATATTTCTGAACATTATATTTATTGCACATAAATAAACATGAGTAATCTGGGAGAATTATGAAGTTTACAGTTGAAGGTCCAAATCTTTCAGACATTTGGTTGTGGTCATATCTGTGAAGGACAGCTGTTTAATAGGGACAAAGGCAACAGCATTATTATATAAACATCAATGCAACCCCAAAAGTGTGATCCATCCTTTAGCAGGCAAACTGGAGGTTTCCATCAAGGTTGTACACAAAATCAGCCAGGTCACAGTTGTGAGTTGGTCTACCCTGCTGGTCACATCCCCATCATATACTACCCATACTCAACAGCCATTGTGAACACCTAATCCCCACGTTCCGTAACCCGATGACCTGCTTCACCCCTACGTGATGTGGTACACTACTATGTCTGTACTTACTACTGGGCGCAGTCAATGAGTTGGTATTCATTTGACCGCTCGAAGCATCCCTGTACACCTTTGTCTTTCCACAGAAGCTCAGTGTGTTCATAAAATTCCTGAAACAAAAAATACAAATAATCAGCTGATGAACAGGAAATGATAATTGTTCATTGATACAGTAGACTGACAATGACACATTGATAAACAACAAAATATCCAAACATCCGTCACATGTGGCTTATTGGCATGGAATTCATATCAACCTTCACTCTTTAGAAAACTCTAACCCTATGTCAAGTTCCATGGATTCTTACAATATTTCAGTTGTATCACTGCATTTTAGCTTAACGCAAGAGGAAGGTTTCCGTAAAGAAAGAGGAAGGTGTACGTGTTGTTCTGTTTGGTGAAGCTCATATGCAGGACAAACTAAAGCTCATCATTAGGGAGAATCTGTAAAACTGAAACCCTGAACCACATATCCTGGCATGCAGGCTTTCTTACAGTGAGTGAGTGAGTTGGGATCAACGCCGCATCATTGCAGTTATATCACAGCATGTCAGCTTAATGTGGGAGGAAAGCTTGAAGTGATTGAGGTCTCAGATGTTTACCACTTCGGTGAAACCCACGAGCACGGGTATGGTGCTGACAAACCTAGAAACATAATCAGGGCTAACCAGGATTTAAATTCACAATCATAGGTTTCTGGCTTGCCGAAAGGACAAAACTCTGCACAGTGAATCGCAGCACCTTAGATGACTGGGCCACCCGTGCCCTCACTTTCTTACAGACACCGGAGTCATGGCACATGGACAACCAAGCCCGGTTTAGTGGTATGTACGGACAAAAGACAACGGCAACACTTGATTAGCAGCACATTTTCTACAATTGTTCCAACAATTATTACACAAAGATTGTCTTGTGAAATGGGGCCTTAAAAGTTACATGAAAATTAAGGAACAAGTAAATCCTTATTTTCAAAATAGCTGGGTTTGTTTAGTAGTTGTTAAGTAACGACGCACATCAATATTTTAGCTATATGACAGTGGCCTACAAATAGTCTGGTGCAGACAATCCAGTGATTAACATTATTGTATCAATCCACAACATCAAGGTGTGATAACATGCAAAAAACACACACAACCAAGCCTGACCACATGATATATCAAGTATTCTCTTAAAGGTTGCTGTGGACCATTTCTAACCCTAAATAGACTATGTGCAACAATACCATAATTTGTTCTTTCAACAATTTATCTTTTGAACAATTCAATAATTTGTTCTTTCAATAATATCTTTTTTAAATATTTAGGTGTATTTAGTGGCACAATCGATTGAACAAGAGAGAATCAGCAAGATTACAGAGTCCATCAGCCAGTACAGTGACCTAAGGGTGAATGCCCACTTTTGTCGAGTCATCTAAGGATACCTTAACCACAGCCACACTGTAACCATAGTCATTCTGTCCTGAACCACAATATAAATATTTAATAAATCCAACGAAAAGGCATAATATTTTTAACCTCTGAAATGCACAATAAAAACAACTATCACTATTTCTGTATATTGATGCTAATCACAGACATTCCTATAGATCATACACTGAAACTATACACCTCCAGGTGTCTTCTGTGTGTGAAGTCCTATCGACATAATAGGCCATGTTTCTACACAATCACCTTCTGTTCAAAGGTTTGACTTTATGACTGTTTACAAATGCATGAAACCATATTTCATCCTCCTCCTTAAACAACATGAAATGTTAATTTCACACACTAGTGGTTGCTTTACAAAGAAGTTTCTAAAAATATCCATACCCATTACAAGAAAAGTAAAGATAAGTCTTAAATTACCAAATCGATAAAAAATAAAGTCCATATATAGATAAATAATGTTCCTTTTGAATGACTCATCAATGGCTGATATGCCTATGGGCTGCCAACATGTCGTAGTTGAACTGCTCGTGTCTCCACTGCCCTTGCCTCAGCTTATATATGTATCACGGTCTCTGGATGCCTGCTGGCTTCAAGTGTGTTCACTGCACAGCTCCAAATGTCCTCTACCCTTAAAGTCAATTTGTTGTCAAAACGATGCGGTGCAAGGTCATAGACCAAGGGTCATAACATCATGGATAGGACCATATGCATCAAACCAAACGGGACTTATTTCCCATTTTATGACAGACCGCACACTGCTTATTGCTAAAATGAATGAGAATAGTGCCGTAGTGCCCTTTAAACTACATTGTAACCTAGCTTTGTGATGTCGTAGTATTGTATAGCGTCATCAATGGAATTTCAGTGCAACAAGGAAAGACATAAATGTGCACATATTAGCATTTGCAAAATAATATGCAAAGTAACTTAGAGAAATTATCATGTTATATTATAGGTGAACATTTCAATTGTGAAAACATTTAAAAAAGTGAAATGCTTTTAAGTATACTTTTATGCCAAACTGTAAAGATGACAAGTGATTTTCATACAGTCCTCCACAGTAAACCGTGTCTAGGGCGTGGTAATTAAAAATTGCACATAAATCTGTAATACGCAAACTAGCTTCATTCTGTTTGTAATTGGAAATTTAGATTAAGTCATCTAGATAGTAAACATACCGGTAGATATCTTAGAAAAAGTTGAAAACACATCAACAGACATCTTTAAGTAACTGCCATGCAGAATATTGTTTGAAGACTATATACAGATAGAGTGTGTATTTTTTTCAGTTCACTGAGGTATGAATCGAAAAATCGATGTGAAAACTCATATTAGACTAAAGTATCTTGGTGTGTCACAGTCATTGTATAAATGTCATCATATTAGACTACGGTATCTTAGTGTGTCACACACTCATTGTATAAATGTCGTCATATTAGACTAGAGTATCTTGGTGTGTCACACAGTCATTGTATAAATGTCATCATATTAGACTAGAGTATCTTGGTGTGTCACACAGTCATTGTATAAATGTCATCATATTAGACTAGAGTATCTCACAGCCATTGCATCACAACATCTCAGAAAGAGCAGATCACAGAGTCAACATGTAGCAAGTCTTTGTATCTGACTGTAGTCATATCACGCAGCTGTAGCCATATATCACGATCATATCACACATATGCAGAGGGAACTTAAGAAGGCTTTTAAACAATGTCCTATTATGTATGAGTTACATATTTCCTTTATCAAACTACACCAGAGCTCCAGATAAGCTGCGTATCTGCGTGAAATACGCATCAGAAATGCAGAAATACACAGTAAAATATAATCCAAGCGTATCAAATACGCAACGAACATTACAGATACGCTACAAAAATAAAACTTTTGGGTATCAAAATATTGTGAAGTAACCCTGCGTATTCGATTAGCAAATCAGCAACTTATTTTGAAAATATAAAGGGGCATTCCGTCAACCTTGCCAAACTCCACAATGACAGTTACATCATGATCATTTGCCATCACACTTTCTTGTGGAAGTATCGTGGTATATTTGAGTCCCATAAAACTCTCGAACCCACACGATACCAGTTTGCAGGGACTAGATGAATAGTGTTTTTAAATATTTAACTTAAATACCCACATGTGTAAAAACTAGTGGGTAACAGAAATTTGAATACACAGGTAGAATTACTGATACCCAATGATTTTAAAATGCATGGGTAAAATACCCACAACACCAAAAGCTTATCTGGAGCTCTGCTACACACAGCTGTCTCGTTTCACATCATACACAGATCTAGTCCTACAGGGCTCTTGTCCTACACAGATCTAGTCCTACAGGGCTCTTGTCATACAGGACTCTTGTCATACAGGACTCTTGTCATATATAGATCTAGTCCTACAGGGCTCTTGTCATATATAAATCTTGTCCTACAGGGCTCTTGTCATATATAGATCTAGTCCTACAGGGCTCTTGTCATACAGGACTCTTGTCATACAGGACTCTTGTCATATATAGATCTAGTCCTACAGGGCTCTTGTCATATATAAATCTTGTCCTACAGGGCTCTTGTCATATATAGATCTAGTCCTACAGGGCTCTTGTCATATATAAATCTTGTCCTACAGGGCTCGTGTCATATATAGATCTAGTCCTACAGGGCTCGTGTCATATATAGATCTTGTCCTACAGGGCTCTTGTCATATATAGATCTAGTCCTACAGGGCTCTTGTCCTACACAGATCTAGTCCTACAGGGCTCTTGTCATACAGGACTCTTGTCATATATAGAACTAGTCCTACAGGGCTCTTGTCATATATAAATCTTGTCCTACAGGGCTCGTGTCATATATAGATCTAGTCCTACAGGGCTCTTGTCATACACACTGATCTAGTCATACAGGACTCTTGTCATATATAGATCTAGTCCTACAGGGCTCTTGTCATATATAAATCTTGTCCTACAGGGCTCGTGTCATATATAGATCTAGTCATACTGGGCTCTTGTCATACACACAGATCTAGTCCTATGTGTTATTATGTTTTCTTCCAATGTTTTCCTAACCTTATGCACTCATATCTGTGACTTTCATGAATACAAATTTTTTGGGGGGCATTTTGCATCTGCTCTTCATGGAAATATCCACAAGTGTTTGGGAAGGGTCACCAAATACACTACCCACACTGGTCATCCTCGGCACTCACAGCTGTAGATTATCCTAAAACAACTCCATTCAAAACTGACCGGTCTCTTAACAAGAAGACTGGAAAATACACTTATTGGTCTGACAACATTCAGAGTTCAGAGTCTTTCTGCGTCTGGACACAGGTCTCTGGCGTCAGTTTCCTTCGCTGCAATATGGCACTACAAATTACTGGATATTCTGGACACACACAGCACTGAAGCAATTTACAAGGCCAATCCGATCAAGTATTCTGAAACAAAATATATTTTCTCCCACTCATTTGGCTCAGATCTTAAGTAGAAATAAACTTTGATGAGAACACGGTTAAGTTTTGTAGTACAAATAAACATTCCAGTTGACAAGGCTTGTTTCAACACATCCCCATTTTCAACATGCATAAACAAATACACACGCAGGAACATTGCTTGAATAATTCCCTACCTTCAACATCCCCATTTTTATCTCTAAATACCCTCACTCTACTTGCTACCTGAC